ATACCTTTTTTGGGCCCAAGAATCCAAAAATGAAATAAAATACCGGGTGTTCTATAAGAAAAAATATAACTTTGGTATGGATCTTAGTTCTACAACACCCTGTACATGTCAAAATAATTTTAAATTGTAAAACCCATAAAATATTTTGTTTCTACATCTTTTCGTTTTCGTATAATCAACCGAGGCGAATGAGGCGCGCCACCCTGTATATAGACTTTGCTTAAACCAAAATATTAGTATATCTATATCTCTGACTACTACTAACTACTACTAACCAGCAATTTGTTTTGTGTGGTCTGTATTTTGTATAAATGTTTTGTTCGTTATTCATGTTGAGGATTTATTTTTAAAATACGGACGGTTAGTGGTTATCAGTTTCTTTCCCTGTATAAGTGTAATTTGTGTATTTTATGAGGTATATACCATAGGATTTAACGGATTATTGCCCTGTATATTTTGTAGGGACTAGTTAGACCTATTATAATATCGCAAACCACTAAAATTAAAAAATTGCATGGCGCTTATTATGGATTTTCCCTGAACCCTTCAATTCTTAAAGTTATTAAAATAATTAAAGCCTTTAGAAAATAAATTGGAAAAAATAGTACAATTAACTGCAGACACAGATTTTATGATAATCGTTGATTGCCCTAGCTCTATCTCTATATTACATATCGACAACTCCATTAAGTGGCCCTATGTTGTTGGGGCTCTACATTTACTGGGTCAATATTAATGAGATTATATTTGATCGTTGTATTACCGGCACATATACACATCCATAGGCACACATATGCCGATAAAATACCTGGGGTGTCGAAGTTCTATAAATTACTCTATCCAATATAATTCTATCATACACTGATATGTCATTAGAAACAATATACAGGGTCCTACAATAGTGCGTCGGGCATCTCTATCTAATATAATAAAAAATTGAAAAATTTTGTTTAACTGCAATCCTAAAAAATGTACCTACTAGGCCGTATTTTAGAAAAATATTTAAACTTCTACTTCTTCTTCTTCCTGTCCCATATATGCAAACTTGCACGTTGGGGATCATTTTTACAGGGTGGGTCAAATTCGACGCTTTTAAATGGAAACACCCTTTTCTATAGGAGATAGACGAAAACTAATATCGGTGTCTGGAGCTCAATTTTCATCAAAAACATTATGGTGAAAACCGCAAATCAATATCTGTTACCGTTACGGAGTTACGGGATGTTTTTCAAAAATGTGCATTTTTAACAAATCGCTGTAACTTCTTTCCTATGGAAAATTTTGTATATCTATGAAAACATTTCCAACGCACCTTTTTACGTAGAATTTAATAGTCTAAGTATATTTTTTTTAAATTAATAATTTAAGAGTTATCAACAGAAAAACAGAATTTTTATTTGGGACGCCCTCTATATTTTTAATTAACTGAAAAGAATTTAAAATTACCTTTCCAAAAATATAGCATACTTGATATTTTGTTATAATCTCCTTCGAAATACAGAATTTTTAAAAGTTCGCCACTTTTAACTAGTAGGCTTTGGGCCCCTTATTGATGATATGCCCTTAATGGAACTCGAAAACATATATTTCCAGGAAGACGACGCACCACCTCTGAACGCTGAAGTTATCAACAAATGTTTGCAGCCAATTTTAAGAATAATTGAATACCTAACCAAGATCCCAGCCGTTGGCCGTCGAGGCCGCCTGACTTAGTGTCCATGGATCTAATGCCCCGTCTGTCCATAACAGAAGACGGTCGATATGTCGAACACCTGTAGGAAAATCACTTGTGTTGGTTCGCTATTTATTTTTATTGTTATTAGTTATTAGATATAGTTTAAATGTGTTGTTGTTGTTTAAATATATTTTAAATTGTTATAAAATTCTGCATCTCTCATAGCAAATATTATTTTCGTTTTAATTGATGCTCACAGCTAGAATTTTTTTGCGTTACAGCCGGAGCCGTTCAAAGCCTACTTATTTAAAGAGGGCGAATTTTTATATACTCTATATCTCGAAGAGGAATCGAGCAAAATATCAAGTGTGTTATATTTTTGGAAAGGTAATTTTAAATTCTTTTCAATAAATTAAAAACATACAGGGTGTCCCATATAAAAATCAAATTTTCTGTTGATAATTCTTAAATTATTAATTTAAAAAAAAATATACTTAAATCATTAAATTCTACGTAAAAAGGTGCTTTGGAAAGGTTTTCATAAAAATACAAAATTTTCCATAGCAAAAAAGTTACAGCGATTTGTTAAAAATGCACATTTTTGTTTGTTGATATTGATGTGCGGTTTACACCATCACATTTAAAAAAAAACACTAAATCACCACAATACACCAAAACACTTTTATTTTACACTGGACGCGCGTTTCGCTAACCATGTTAGCATCATCAGCAGATGATTATAAACTGAGTTTATAATGATGATGCTAGTTTGATGCATGAGTTTATGATGATGATGCTGAGTTTATAATGATGATTCTAACATGGCTAGCGAAACGCGCGTCCAGTGTAAAATAAAAGTGTTTTGGTGTATTGTGGTGATTTAGTGTTTTTATTTTGCTGTGTAACACCAAAGGTTCCAACCCTCAACAGTAACCACATTTTTGATGAAAATTGAGCTCCAGACACCGATATTAGTTTTTGTCTATCTCTTATAGAAAAGGGTATTTCCATTTAAAAGCGTCGATTTGACCCACCCTGTACATTCTCTCCAATTGATTGTAAAGGTATTGTCTTCTGCCCGACGGAATATGGTTACTGCTTCCGGTATCCCGCTCCAATCCCTGATGTTATGGACCCATAAGCGCTGTTTTCTTTCTGACCCTTTTCGCCCTTTAATTTTGCCCGGCAGGACCAGTTTCAAAATGCAAAAATCGACATTTGTTCAGAAATTTAATTATTAATAAAAAACACGTAAAAAACATATAAGGTTAATCACAAGTTACAAATAAAAATAAAGAAAAAATCAAATTTTAAATATTATTTTTATTTTTAATAAAATGGAGTAAGAAAGAATATATATTACTAAGATCCTCAATATCTTTTCTTTTATTAATACAATTATCATTAATTTAAATTTCTACCATTTCAAGAAAAAAAAAAAACAATCAATCATTTTTACAATCTTTTTTTTTTCTTTTTCTTTATTTTTATTTGTAACTTGTGATTAACCTTATATGTTTTTTACGTGTTTTTTATTAATAATTAAATTTACCTTTCTATGTCAAAATAATTTTTAGTAATGTCAGAAATCATGAATATTTAAGAAGATTTTAACTTTTATACAAAATTTTAGTTCCTTTCTTCCATATGAAAATTGATATATTTTTCTATTTTTATAATTAAACTTTTTACACGTAAGTTTATATAATATTATATTATATTCAGTTGACTTTTGTGATATGTTTTAGCCTTGAAAAAGGAAATATATTTTCCGAAAGCTCGGCGTTTGTAATAAATTGTTTAATTTTTTGCCTCTAGACCGCTATCCCCAAGAATTTTCTTCTTAGTTTTGGTTATATTTGATCGGTCAAGACTTCCTCTTTGTATATATATATATATATATATATATATATATATATATATATATATATATATATATATATATATATATATATATATATATATATATATATATAATATAAACTTTTACACCCTGTATGTCCGAAACTAAGCATTTTAGGCCACATCTATATGAACTTTTTTATAGTTATGGGCTACTTTTCTCAAGTGACTTATATGTTATAAAACGCGAGTGCCATACAAAATTTTATCCAACAGCAGAACTGTTTCATGTCCAATCTCTAAAGAATAATTGATTTAAAAGGATCTACCAGTTTACAATCTTTCATTGTTGCGAATTAACAAATTATCAGGGTGCGTTTATGTTACTATGTAATATAGATGTGCGTTTTTTTTTGTTTTTTTTTTGTAAATAATAGATATCACTGACATTAAGACGTCATTTAAATAAATCGCAATTTTTAGCGATAAAATAGTGAATTATCATTTAGGAAGATCTTCCGCAAGTACTTGGGCCTACAACATCCTGAGCAATACACTGGCCATTGTATGAGAAGATCATCCGCTACATTACTGGCAAATGCAGGAGTGAACATGACAAAGTTAAAAAGACATGGAGGATGGCGATCTGCAACGGATGCGGAAGGATATATCGAAGAGTCCATCAACAATAAAATAGAGATCGCGAAAAAGATCCAAGGAGAATATTATTTTAATTTTTACACATCCAACAATATTCTACATAAATATATTAAAAACTTTCTTTAAACAATTTTCATTTTTTTGTCTTTTAAACTATCTACTTCTGAAAACAGAGGAAATAAAAAGTTTTAAACAAGAAAGTGTAAATCCCTTAAAACAAATCATCCATTATGTAGTTCCCTATTAAAGCAGTAAAATTTATAATTCCAGAGTGCGAAATAATGAATTGACAGCACTGAATTATAGATCAACAAACGTTGTTTTATTTGCTGAGTTTATAGATAGACGTCTGTACGTATTAGGGCTAGTTGATATAAATCTCATTAATATTGATGCTCGTAAACAGCCTATATAGAATACATGGCCGACTAATGCAGAGTTTGGGTTGTATTGAGTGTTAATCGCAATAGCCGTGACATTTTGGAATGTTTAATATTAATTTTTCAAATAACAAATAAAAAAAGAATAAAACTAAAGAAAAAGGTTCTTCCTAAAAATAGAAGAAAAAAACAAGCAGGTAATTTGACCAAAAAAATGTATAGATATTATCTTTAACAGTACTTACGCTTTATAAAAGGACTTAATTAATAATTATTAAATAAAATTAATAATCATAGTAATAAGTATATTCCACAATTGCAGATGGCAGTAGTGTAGTTAGAATTGGTAAAAATATTTTTTTAATTTATCAGTATATTTTATGAATATCGATTTACTAGTTTTAAATATCATTTTTATTTTAATTTTATTTAGAGGTACTTACCACGTTCTTTTGTTATCTCCTCTGTACCGATTTCGTTCACGCTGAGGTCGATCGGAATTTCTTTCTCTATTTTTGCCCGAGGTTTGACAGGACCTAAAACAGGGACAGGAAAGACAGAAAAGAACATCAATTAAATTTAGACACCTCATTTATTTTTTTCCAAAAATATATTCTTATTTATTACTATATATTTAATAAAATATAGTACACTCAGATGCAAAAAAAAACGCAACGGAGAAATTTTTGGTGAAATTTGGAGTGTTATATTTTTGTTATATTTAGGTCTATTTTTATATTTTTTTTATCAAGCTGTATATAATTACATCAACTTTAATTCGTAAACTCAGTGTTTCATAAACTTTAGTATTTGGCATATTATACAGGGTTAAACGAGGGATTGCTTTTTTACTTTAAACTACAAGGTTAAAACACCCTGTGCAATAATTTCGTGTGTAAATTTTCCTAAAATACAATTTTGCGGTTAGAACCATGTCTCCTGAGCATTTTGTTTTTTAGATCATGTCAATACATGACTTGGTTAATGTTTAAGAGTGAAATGAACTTGCCACCAACAATTTGCAATTTTTTCAATTATTATTTCAAAGTTTATTTTTCAATATGACGAGTAGGCGGCTTTGGTAATTATTGTGAACTATATTATTATACTACTATGAACTGCCCATCATGTTCAGCGTGTGTGAAGTGCTTGTCAGGAGGTTTAGAGGTCGCGAAGCGGAACTAGCTTCATTAAATGAACTTCGTTTGGTTCTTAAAGAAGAATGGGAAAGCATAACGCAATAATGATATATGCAGCCTCAACGACAGTATGAACGGACGTATACAGGTAGTTGTAGCAGCCAAAGAAGGTAATACAAAGTATTAGTGTATTTTTTACAATGTTTTTTTCTGTTTGTATACTTGAGTATTACAGATGTTTACTTTAATATCGTTAGTTCTGTTATCGTTATGAATGTTTATTAAAATCAGGACTGTATCGTTAGTCTTTAACGTTTTTTTTTAAATTTACTATAGAGTATCCAATGCAGCCGTATATAACGTTACGATAATGGTCACTCAAATAAAAAATTACATCCAAAAGTAATGATAATTGAAAAAATTGTAAATTGTTGGTAGCAAGTTCCTTTCGCTCTTGAAAATTAACCAAGGCATGTGTTGACATGATCCAAAAAACAAAATGCGAGAGACATGGTTCTAACCGTACAATTATATATTAGAAAAATTTACACACGAATTGAGGTAAAAAAAAATGACTCCTCGATTAACCCTGTATAATATGTCAAATACTAAAATTTATAAAAAACTTAGTTTACAAATCAAAATTGATAGAATTATATACAGTTTGCTAAAAAATTCATGAAAATTGGGCTAAAAATAACAAAAATATAACACTTTAAATTTGACTAAATTTTTCTCCGTTGCGTTTTTTTTTTCATCTGAGTGTATATTAGAATATTTTTTTTTATTATTTTTAGAAAAAACTGAGAATGAGAATACTAAAAATAAACTTATAATTAGATATGTTTATCACCATCTTGTTCGTAAATTTATAAAAGTAGAATACTAAAAATAAATTTAAGTAGTATTGTTTGTTCTGGAGAACTACAAATAAAAATAATCATAAACTAGAAATAGAATTTAAGAGCAATATAAACTTTAATGGTAATATATTTCAATATTATTGCTACCCGTTGGGGTGTAAAACAAATAATATATGTTAGCTCTTTTTTGTAGACAAATTGGCTATAAAATATTGTCCCTCTTATTAAGGCACGTACACACCGATCGTGCAAATTTTTATCAACGTTTGCAAAGGTTTGCAAATTTCTTGCAAATAGTTGTCACTATTCCGGTAGGTGTCCGTTGTCTCTTTGGTGTGAACACGCCTTTATATACTATACTTACTTTTCTTTGTTGTAGTAGTTGTTTTTGTAGTGGTAGTGGTGGGTTTAGGGGTTGAAGGTGTTGGTATATCTGTAAAAATATTAAATATTTATTCAAAACAACAAAAAATATCCTTATGGACGTTCAGTGAGCAACAAATAAATCTAGTAAAATTTAAACTACACGGATTTTGTTATACTATCTGGTAGAATTAGAAAGATGTCAGAAAAAAAGCAATAATTGCCAGATCGTTGTGTTTGTCAGCAAATTGTTGTTGACATCTAATACAAACTTCTGTAAAATAGTATATTATATTGTGTTTATCATCATCCGGGTATAAACTCTCCTGTAATATGGCGCTTATCATGTTTTCCCCCAAATCCTTCAATTGAAAATGGCTGAAACGCTAGAATTTTTTTTCGAAAATCACAAAGTTTTAGTTTTTGCGACCTGATTGACAATATAAAAAAAGTAATTTTAATGCCTAGGCATAAGAATAAAGCACTTTTACGCCTAAACATTTTTCTCCTTCGGGTTCCATCTCCTAATGGAGGTTGGAAATCATCATGGCAATTCTAACTTTGTTAACAGCTGCTCTGAATAACTGGTTTGAAGTCATTCCAAACCATTCTCTCAAATTCTTGAGCCACGATGTTCTTCTTCTTCTTCCTTGGCTTCTTCTGCCCTTTATCTTTCCTTCTATTATGTTCTGCAGCAGGGCATATTTAGGTCCTCTCATTATGTGTCCAAAGTACTCAAGTTTTCTCTTTTTAAGGGTGTTAATCACCTCTTCGTCCTCTTCTGAATTCTGCGTCGCAGTTCTACATTTGTAACCTTGTCAGTCCATGCAATCCTCAGCATACGCCGATAACACCATCTTTCGAATGCCTCAAGCTTCTCCATTTCGGCTTTTTGAAGTGTCCAAGCCTCTGAACCATAGAGTAGAATTGCAAATATGTAACCCCTTAGCATTCTTAATCTCAGCTTTAAGTTGATGTCTCCACTTCAGAGACATTTTTTGAGTTTTACAAAGGCTGCTCTGGCTGTTTCTATTCGAGCTTTTATTTCTGCTGATTGATCCAAGTTTTCGGTCAACCAACTGCCTAGATATTTGTATTTTTGTATTCTCTCCATAGGTGTATCATCTATTAGAACATTGGCTTGGATATCTTCTCTCTTAGTGATTATCATAAATTTAGTTTTCTTAGGGTTCATTTTCAGGCCATAGACTCTACACGTGTTGTTGAGTCTTCGTAGAAGTGTTTGCAGACCCTCCACGTTGTCTGCTATAAGGGCGGTATCGTCCGCGAACCGCATATTATTTAAGACCTGCCCATTAATAGTGATGCCCTCCTTTCTACTAGTCAAGGCCTCCCGAGAAATTGATTCGCTATATATATTAAACAATAGCGGAGAAAGTATACATCCTTGACGAACGCCGGTCAGAATCTTTACTTCATCAGAAAATTGGTGGTCCACTATAACCTTCGCTGTTTGCCTCCAATAAAGATTTGCTATTTTCCTGATATCTCGGCTATCGACATTCATGCCTTTAAGTATTTCAATTAGTCTATGATGTTTAACTTTATCGAAAGCCTTCTCAAAACCTATAAAACACACATACAGGTCCTGATTCATATCAATACACCTCTGTGCTAACACATTTATGCTAAACAGAGCCTCTCTCGTACCCATGCCTCTTCTAAACCCTACTTGGTTATCACTGATTTCTGAGTCCACCTTAGCAAGAATTCTATTATAAATAATTCTCAAAAACACTTTCAGTGTGTGACTCATCAGGGCAATTTTTCGATGGTCGGAACATTCTTTGGCATTGGGTTGAACATTGGGCCTAAACATAAAAGTACGAAAACATATTATTAAACTGACATAAAGTGTCAAATTCAAAGAGTGTAACCATAGTTTTTCGATATACAAAGTTCATCTTAAATAAGTGCAAATGTTTTCAGTGGTAGTATATTTCCACCCCAGAAACACGAGCAAAAGGTTTTATTTGGCGAAAATTTTTTTTTTGAAAATTTCACACCTCTACTTTTCAACCAATAACATGCTTTAATGTTGACTAGTTACCATGGCAACTGAAAAAGTTTCCGGAAATTTTTTCGAGGCGTCACGAAACTTTAGTGGAAATTTTTTGACAGTTGAAAAGGTAAACATAAGATCTACAATCATAATGTGAATGAACTACAATGTCTATATATTGAAATATTACCCATTAGAGTTTTAGCATTTGATGTAACTAAGGTTGGTAATATTTTTTATTTAAGGAAATATGTTAGATATACCTACATATGAATTTCTTCGAAATTGCCATGTTCTAAAAAATATAGTTCTGCCGCCTTTATTTAACTAAAGCTGGTATTTTTCTATTTAACGAAATATGATGGATATACACTTGATTTTGATTTTCGGGTGTTATCTGGTTTTATATTTTCAAATTCTTCTTTAATGACTTGTTGGTTTACTTTTCCAAATCGCGACATTTCGCTATACACTTCTTACTCTACGTACAGACGTTTTAAAACTAGTAATAGCTTAATGACAGAATCGCAAACAAAATGACAAAAAACACATAATATGTCAAAACATCAATACCTTGGCCAACTTAACAAATTGAAATTATTTTAAAATGTCATGTTGGATTAATATTTTTTTTCAAATTTAGGTGTGAAATTTTCTTACCGAATACCACGCAAGCATAAATTATTCCTGGAAATTTTCTTTCGGGCACGAATATTTTAGGAAAATTATCCCTCGTCTTCGACTCGGGATAATTTTCAAAATATTCGTGCCCTCAAAAAAATTTCCGAAAATAATTTAAGCTCTTGTGATATTATAAGTGAAAATTTGGAATTTTTTGAAAAAAATTTTGGAAATTTGTTTAGTTTTTAGTTAAAAATATAATTTGTTGAGAATATGGCAACATAGGTAGTTGATTAAATTTACAAGAAAGAAAATCCAGAAAAGATCTAGTGGTTCTCAAAATTTTAGGAAAAAATCACTTTTTTTTATTTTCAAAGCAAAATATCTCGGTTATTTTGGACTTATTTGAAAAACGGCAAAGAGAAAATATATTTCTCTTATCGAGATCTACCAGCCCTGAAAATATTTGCACTTATTTAAGACTGACCCTGTATAATTACTTACAAGGTATTATTTTTAAATCTTTTTATATATTTGGAACGTTTAAAATTGTTTAAGACATTATTTATTACGTTTGAAAAAATAGCTTGTTCTGTTCGGAGTAAAAAAATTGGCGCCGGGAGGCACGTATGGGCGGCTATACTAAAATATGTTAATATCTCAAAAACTGCGACTTTGACTGGCTTTGATGTTATTACAAATTTTGTTGCAAATATTATTCCTAATCTTAATTTGAAAACCACGTGTCGCAAGCTACCTGTAATTTTGGAGTTACGATTTTTTTTAAATTTTTAACCCGCTCCCATACCCCCGTCCCAACCCCCCACCCCCACCAAAAACTAATGGCCAGATTCTCGGGTGCCACAGTATTTTTGTTCCAAATTTGGTTAAAATCGGTTCAGCGGTTTTTGAGTTATCGTCTTACAGACGGACAGACAAACGGACAGACAGACAGACACTATGAAAATATTTTGTATTTAGGTCATTTATGACCCAAATAACTGATTTTGAGTGAAATTAAAATAACTTTTTTTGCCGATCTTAATACCCTATCATACCGATTGGTATGGTCGGCTAATAAATTTTTGTAATATTTTTTTTCCTAATATTGTTTTGATTTCAGGAAAGTTCGTGTATTTTTAATATTTTTTTAAGAAAGAGTGAAAAATATATATTTGTTATTTATTTTTTAGTATCTCTGAAACTAACTGAAATATATTTACTCATATCTTAGGATTATGTAAAGTGACTTGACAGGAAGCCAAAAATGCAATACTATACAGAGTTGTCCATTTAAAATAATATCCTTGTCCTGGTCCACTGACACTATTTTGAGCCACCTTGTAGAAGCTAAAATATTTTCCTGAAATACATTCTAGTATACACATCGACAAACAAATAAAAAGAGACTGACAAATCTCATGGTAAAGAGTGGGACCGCGTTCCCGTAGCGCAACTCAGAATAACAATTTTGAAACCAATTAGCAGGACCATGGCAGGACGTACGTCTTTATTGCTATCTTTCTTTATTATATGTACTTTATATGAAAAAGAAAGAGATAGGTATAAAACGTATCGTAAGACATTATCGCACATTCTGGCTGGCGGGAAATTTAAATCAGCCATTATTAGTAGTATTCTTTCAATCTGAAACTGAAAATTTTCACTTAAACTGATTTATGCCCTATACCACGTAAAGGGAACATGGTGTAGGGAATAAATCAGTTTAAGTGAAAATTTACAGTTTCTTTCAGAACGAAAGGATACTACTATTCGACGGAAATTATAAAAAAAAGCAAACATTGTCCGGTTTTATAAACATATTTATTTATACATAAAAATAAATAAACTTTTTATAATATAATAACAAAAAATAACAGTGTTTATTCCACCCACCTACCAATTTTAAATGCAAATGAACTGACTGTTGCAGGAAACGATCGGCCAATTTTTTTAAAGGACATTAAAAATCTCTTTTTCGAAAAAAACTGCCCAATTGCAATAACAAAGTGAATATCCAAGCAAAGAAGACTTTACGAGAATCATGATCCTCAACCATTTTCAAGTCCAGTTTTAATCCGAAAACCAAAGTAAAGTAGGTATATTAATAAAGTTTCTGGGTACTATGAACCAGCTATAAACTACCTACCCAAAAAATGAAAAAAAATAATTGTATTAATTTGTTATGTTAAGAGAGGTTCGAAATATTTTTGACACTACTACTTCTACTTTTTTCTTAATAAGATGATAAATATAACTACTTACTTTTATTTTACCGGGTGTCTTTAACATATCTATCAGAGAAAGGGGGTACCAATACATATAAAAAAAGATGATACCGGCTCCTGAAGCAAATAATATATATAATAACAAATAGTATAACTTGTGGCATAACCTAAAATTATAAGTAACAAAATATAAATACC